AGGTATTTCAATTTTACTACTCTGGGGAATGATTTTCCTTCTACGCAGATCCTGTTATTGGGGTGGAATTTGCAGCTTATTATCATATATTTTGTTTTATATTCATTTACTTGTAGGCCTCTCTTATTAGAGTTTTAGCGAGTTTCTCAATGTCCTCTTGATTACTTCCAAGGACAGCTATATCATCTGCGTATCCAAGGATTTTATGATTTGTTCCGATGTGGATCCCTCCATTTTCCTGTGATGTTCTTATTACCTTCTCCAGGGCTAAGTTGAACAACATCGGTGATGGTTACTTAATTAAAAATTAAGTAATTCAACATATTTTATCTGATAAATTATGGCGTTTTGTATATATTTTCTTAAAAGAAGTGCCTGAATAATGAAAGATAAAATAATTTAATTTATGAATTCTTTTATTCAGAATGGATTGGAACATATTTATCAAAATTTATTTTTTAAGTATTAGAAAGTTATTAATACTAAAAAAACTTAATAACCAACAAAGAATCATTTGATAACAATATCAACTATTAATTTTTATGCTGTGCTATTGTGTTGAAAGCTTAAAAATTAAATTTCATTATGAAAAATAAATAGATAATAGAAAAAAAAAAATATTTTTGTAGTAACAAATTGTTTATTTTGTTCTTAGATGGGTAGCTGTGGATTATGAACACCTAATGAATAACAGGTATTTATACTATTGATTAATACTATTTAATACTATATATTATACTGGTGCTAACCCAGTTGTCGAAATTCGACCAGTCATTATTGAAAATTTGAGGAAAACATAAATGAATTTGCGCGTTTCCAAAAAAAATTGTCTACTCTTATATATTTGTATACTTATAATACAAAACAGTGCATTAACATTTGTGTATTTTTTTAATTATTCTCAAATAAATCATAATCCAACTTTACATTTTACAAAAAAAATGTTTTAACGCTCCTTTTGTCGTTATGAATTATTTCATTTCAACATTGTACTTATACTATAGTAATACACCAAATATAAATTTGTCATAATAGATCTCTCCTAAAAAATATAAACAAATAAAATGTAAAAATAAAAATGCAATAAAAATACCTTGTTGGACATGATTGTTTTTTTATTTCTGTGATTTAAAAAAAATGTTTTTAGGAAATTCAGGAAACTTTCAAATACTCAATAAGTTTAATGAACCAAAAATTGTGTACTTTTTGGAGTTATTCACGATTAAAATGCTGAATCCACCGTTACTTGTTTTTAGCCTCTTTCCGGAGAAGTATCTTTATATATAAATTAAAGGAGCTTCAAGTAGAAGACTTCAGATAAAAATTGCTATCAAATTTACAAATTGTATTATATTACAATTTATCAAAATTACAAAGCAATCGATGAAGAACGTTCAGAGATTAGCAGTTTTGAACAAACTAACATTTACATTTTTATTCATATACACTGTTTCCAAAATATTTAGCACGTATTAGAAAATATTCAAAATTTATCTCTAAAAGTATTATTGTTCCTGTAAACACAGATTTTTTTTTTAACAGCCCGTCTATTACCACTTAAATATTATGTTATATTGTTACCAAAAAAAAATAAATAATATTAATAATCCCGGATCTGCTACAGCTGACAACTTAGCATCTTAATTTCAGTCATCCCGTTTCTACCACTTTGAATATACTGTTGCATTGCTGTTTAAATACTCCTATAGACTCATCCATATTCTGTCCTAATATTGATGGACTATTCTTCCATAGATATGAGTGAAAAAATTTTGCTTGGTCTAAGACAGTAGGAAGTAGGTAATAATTTTGTAAATTCTAACCACAGGCAGATCTACGGGAAGGAGCTTTCGGGTTGTAGCATCTCCTCCCCCAAAATGGTAAAATATAACGAAGTCTTATAAAAAATTATCTTTAAAAGTATTATTTTTCATTTAATTACATTTAATAGGACTACAGGAATCAATTAAACACCATTTCATATAGGTATTTAGTTTCTTTCTTATTTCAAAGTAATAATCGTCATATGAATATAAAAGAAAAAGCTTTCAGACTCAAGCTCCCACCCCCCAAAAAAATCTGGTGCACACAACACACAAATTTCACTTACCCGCTATACATTGAATAGAAATTATTTTTTGACAATGTTGGGCTATTATAAAATTTTTGATGTGCATTTTAAACGGAGCTATATGTTAGAGCTTACAAATCATTAAGACCATTAAAATTACAAAATGTCTATTTATTAAATCAATGGTATGCAATAAAAATCTAGTTTTACCATCTGCTTTTATGAACCACATAACTTCAGTCTCTGTCTTTCAGTTGACAGAATGATTAACTCCAATTTCAACATGTTTGAGTAATGTCATTTTAGTGATATTTCTTGTTAGGAACGTTGTATCTATACAGACAGTGAGTAAGTTGATTCCAGAGTAGGTGATTGCAGTGTTGAAATATAAAATTGTGAATAGAGGTATACATTTTGCCACTAGAACCATCAATAAAATTAATAATAAAGAATGTTGACATTGGAGTTAGTCATTCTGTCAACCGAAAGACTCATTTATATCTAGAGAGATTTTAAGGCATATCTGAATATTTAACTTATAAATGATTGTAGGACTATTAGTTATTAAACTGTTATTTTCCATTTAAAGTTTACTAAAATGATATTACGAGATTTTCATTGTCTGTCATGGTTAGGTTAAAAAATTGTCACACTAATTATAAGTGTATAATGTTGGGAATTCACAAAGGGAAAATGAAATTATTCACTAATTTAATTTTCTAAAAGGTTACTTTATGATTTTTTTGAATAATAAACATATCCATGAAATATTTTTATTTTTCACTTCTTCTTTCAGACAAGTACAATGAATTAGTATTTCAAACAATGACATTGGCTTGATTAGGTGGATTTCAAATACTTTTTTTTTTTACTTTGAAAAAAAATTTAAAGGTTTACATATAGTAAGAAAATTTCATTTAATTTCCTTGGGAATATGTGATTTAGATTAAATAATGTTAGTTTTCAAAAGTTTTATTTATATTATTTCGTTACTCTCCGTTATCTTCTACTTTATTTATTTATTTGATATTATTTTTTCTAAAATTCTCTGCTTTCCAACTATATATTATATGTATACATTCTGATTGTTATTTCCGGAGATTCATCTTCAACCTGGATAAGCATTTTTCTCCAGTTTCCAATTATCATATTTTTTCAAATTTCATATTTAGCCATTTTTTATAGTTACTGTCAACAAAAGTGAGTCATTTTTTTTTTAAATAATCCATATTAAAGGTACTTTAGAGGAAGACGTATATGAACATTGGGCATTTAAGCTCTGTAAAGTGACATCAATGGGGATAAGACCTAAATAACATTAAAGACCATTTAATTATACAATGATACTCTGAGTTTAATCAAAATCATTAGAGCCGTTTTTGATAAAATTGTAAAAATGTGTTTCACCGTTGATGTAAACTGAAACTTCCGGTTAGTCGATTTTAATGAAAAGGTTGCTGCCGCATCAAAAACTATATAAAAACCTTAAATACGCAATTTAAGTTTCATAGGACTTTTCGTTTTTGAGCTAGGCTGTTCATATAGGCTGTATACACAGACCATTTCTCGAGAATTGGTTAATTGGACTCAGGAGACCACAAAAAGTGTATGTATATATATATAGGTAAGTGAAAGTAATAGTGATTCTAACTTAAAGTTTCTATAAAAAAGCCGTGAATCAAGTAATATTGAAATAATAAGTATTACACGGCTTAAGACCAGTTTTAATTCCTATTATATTTCGGTTTTCTACTTATTTTTAACTCCAGATCCTTGAATTCCTCCATAAATTTCACTGCGTTCCCTTTTTCTTCTTCTTAATCTTATGTAAAGTCCCAGCTTAGCCTGGGGCTTCTAGCCCATTGGTGTATACCTCTTGCTAGTATTCTCATCTCCGAAACGATGCATCCTTTTGCTGCCCTCAGTTTTCCAATATAGCCAGAATACATACTTCAGGATCTCTCACGAAGAAGGCTGTCTTCCATTCTATTTTCCAAGCACCAACAGACTTCTCGGGTCCATCATTCATTCTACAGACGTTTCCAAACCAATTTAGCTGCCGTTCTTTCAGGATGTAATATACGGATAGGCCTCCCAAATCCTTACTAATCCTCTCATTTCTCTCTCTGTCTCTATTGGTCTTATCGATTATTTACCAAAGGAATCTTTTCATTTCAACCGTATGGAACATTGATTTAAATAGTTTATTACATTACATTACTTGCGTATTGTTGTTTTTGATATTTGAAATTCCATTCCATTGTTATTTAGCCTGATTTTATAATCTCCTGGTGTAATTTATCAGTTAAAATATATTGTTGCCTACAGATATTGTACGTGTTCGCTATTTCTTGGTATTTACCGTTATTCAAAACCTTATGCATCATCATTTTATGAAAAAAAAAAAATAATAATAAGGTGTGTGCTTTATACCACACGATAGGAGTGAAGACTTCAACTAGGCGAGATTGATAATTTGAAATTTAAATTATAAATAATAGATCACTATAAATTCACTTATAGTATGCAGGTCCTATTTTTAGTATATGAAATATTTTAATCCAAATATTCAACTAAACTCGTTATCATATGGTTTTCAACATAATTTTTCCCTTATCACCTCCCTAACACGTCATGGCGTTAAGATACATTTTGAATAAAAGCTCATTACAAAGAGGTGGTTAACATTTTCCTCGCTTACAATATGCAGTTCCGATTTTTAGTTTTTGAGATATTTTAATAAACATACAAAAACACTTCAATTAGTCGACTCCATCCGACTTTACCCGAGCGTTACACATCCTAGATCAGACGGCATAATCTAATTAGTTCTTCACTAAAAAAAATTCAAAACGCGCCTAATGAAGTTTTCACTTTAAAATGTATAGTAACGAAAGAATTCCTAAAAGGTTGATATTTACTGTACCGAATGGTAAACGACCGAGGGGTAGACCGAAGCCAAGGTGGGAAGATTGCGTTAAAGCCGATCTGAAGGGACTGGATTTGGATGCGAACGGTGTAGGGGGGTGTGTAATAAGCGATTAGTAGTGTCGGCATCGAACCTTCCGGTTCGCTAAGCCTTTTATTATTTATTATTATAGGAGTTTGATCATAATCACCTCCTTGCACAACCATAGACGAAGAAACAGTGTTCTCCCTAAATATTACTAAACTCAAGACCCTTCATCGATTGTAGTGCTACAAGTAAAAAAAAAAAAAAAATAAATAAGGAAAAGATGTAACCTTGGGCATCAGTAAATCAAATTCTTTTCTATTTCAATTCCGGAAATGTTTTCATCCTCAATAAGTTTTTAGCATTTTGAAAAACAGCTACTTGATTGTGTACAAGCTATCATAAAACATTTATGTCTTGAAACTGTGTTATAATTGAAGTCGTAAATTAGACGTCAAATACAACATGAAATTATTCTATACCTTATTTTAGCTGACTGATACGGTATTACTATGTCACCTGGTAAACATTTGGACCAGACGACCATTATTGTTTAGACTTTTTTACCAACAAGTTTTTAATCGAGAAACCTCCCCTCTCCCCCCCTCCCATGGCCAATGGTGTCTCGCTTTATCAACGATAAAATCCGGTCACTTTACTTTAAATTTCAACAAGGATAAATGTTACTTTTATTTTAAGTAAATTTTGTCTAGTTTACTAAGGAGCGATTGATACATGCGTTTCGCGTTTTCTCACGATCTTAGATGCATAATAATAAACATAATTGCTAAATATACTTTTTATTAATATGAAAAAAAAAAGTTAAAAATAATGATTTTTCAAATATTTTTCATGTGAATTGGTTATGAATCTACTTTTTACCACTAGCTTATCCAGGATTTACTCTTAGGGGGGGGGAGGGCTTCAGCCCAAAAGATTTTTTTTCATATATATAAAGATAATTAATTTGAAAAAAAAGAGAAAGAAATGAACTACCTATATGAAATGGTGTTTAATGTGATTTTTGAAGTCCTATTAAATGTAATTACACGAACAATAATACTTTAAGAGATAGTTTTTAATATTTTTTCTATAAAACGTGGATATATTTTACCATTTTTGGGAGGCTTCAGCCCGAAAGCCTCCCCCCCTCCCTCTCCGTAAATCCACCTGAGATATATATATATATATATATATATATATATATATATATATATATATATATATATATATATATATATATATATATGTATAACGATAATAAATTTTAAAAAAACTAACTACCTATATGACATGGTCTTTAAGTTATTCTCGAATCCTATTAAATGTAATTACACGAAAACTAATACTTATAGAGATAGTTTGTAATATTTTTTTCTATAAAACATGATTATATTTTACCATTTTAGGGGAGAGGGCTTCAGCCCGAAAGCCCCCTTCCCCCGTAGATCCGCCTGTGGTTTTCACCCAAATCTGTGTCACACGAATTAATCCGTATTTATTAGTGGAAAATGAAATGTTTCTAGTTCTAAAATTTGCGTTTCCTAAATAATTGAAGCAACCAACAGGTTTATTTTTAGTACTAACAATTAGCTTTTCACTTATAAACACGGATCAATTCGTGTAATAGAGATGATATCAGATATTTATTTTTACACAACTTGAGATAATTTCAAGTTTTTCCGTAATAAACCTCAAATTAATTAATATTATATAATTATATATATAGCTTCATCTCATCGTAACCTACAGATATTTGATATAATATGCTACTTGAATCGTAAAAGAATTTAAGCACAAAAAAAAACCTTCTAAAATATTGAGCCGTTTGGCGTGACCTACACCCCCAATTGTCAATTGGTTATATAGGCCAAACGCTCCAAGATTACTGTAGGCCACTTGTTTATGGAATTTGTGATAAAATTCCGAGAATTTTCGTGAATTAAATATTTGAGAGTTACGATGAAATGAAACTGTTTTGCGAAGTAATAAGTAAAGTAGTAAAGTAAGTAATAAGGACGTTAATTATTTAATTATAATTATAAAATATTTAATTATTATTACTATTTAATTACTAATTATTATTATTATTATTACTAATTACTAATTATTATTATTACTAATTACTATTTAATTAGGTACTAAAACCTCGTAAATATCTATTTGCTTTCCACTCGTGAAATAATTTGATAACAAAATCGATAAAAAAGGTGACCTACAAAATAGACTGTTTGGCCCATATAACCTCGTTATTTTGACAATTTTGAGGTGTAGGTCACGTTAAATGGCTCAATATTTTTAAAGGCCACCTTTTTTCTGAATTTCTTGCTCAACTTATCTTACGATTCAAAAGAAAAGTTTTTTTACGAGTTTTTAGTACGTAATTAAATGGACAAAGTTTGCCAACCTCCTGATCGAAAACGTCCCAATTCCGAGGATTTTCGTAAAATAAAATATTTGTAGGTTACGATGAGATGATACTATTTACGAAATTTCAGCGGGATGTTGATAATTTGATAAAAAAAAGGGGGTATGTACCACGGAGTATTATCTTAGACGCTCAAAAGCCCTCTTTAAATGGTTTTGACAATGATAAACTCTTTATATATAAGTTATACATAGATAACTTAAATTTTATCTAGTTTCCAGTGAAGCTATTGTTAATTACTTAAATTAAATATATCTTTAGCTATCGGCTCGTATTCAATAAAAGACAGTATTTATATAAAAAAAAAAACACATGTGACTAAAACGCTCTCGCTCAAACTCCACTGGCTTTACCAGTAGTGACGCGGTTGAGAGGGTAGCGCAGGGATCTCTTAAGTCCTGTTTTTCCTTCTATAGTTGAGGGGAGAAGCCTGCCTCCTTGCCTGATTGTACATAGGCATGACTGTGTTTTTATGTTTTGAATTTACTTATCTTTAGGTTATTTTAGGGAGTGGGGCTAGCTCATGGTAGGGTACTGAGCTTTCAGTGCTAAAGGTCCCAGGTTCGAGCCCTGGGTCGGGAGACCCCCCTGGGGCATACCCAGCCTCTATAAAGTGGGTATCCTTAATTAAATAATTAATTGAGGAGGGGGAAAACCTGGCGGTTGAGCGTGATCTCGTTCAAATCGCCTCCTTGCACAACCGTTGACCTAGAAACAGTGCTTTCCCTAAATAATACTGAACCCAATACCCTTCATGGGTTGTAGTGGTACAGGTTTTTTTTGTTTTAGGTCGTTTAGTTTTTGATTATTATTTTACTTATATTAATTTTATATTTTCTGCATATATGGTGTGAATGTGTTCATATATCAGTATAATTATTGTCCACTTGACAGATTGTTATATTTCTAAATAAATAAATAAAATAAAAACACGAAATTGGATTTTTTACTTTTCTTCTGAATATTGGCCCATTGTTTATATAAACTTTTTTTATAGCTCTCAAGCTCTGGTATCACTCCTATAAAAATGTCTCTCTATTTATGAGTGTATAGTGTATATTGAAAAGTTTCTATTTGAAGAAGTAAGGAAACGCGACAAAGTTTTCTTTCATTTTATCTTCTTCATGGATTGGCAAGTTATCCTTTTGGGATAACTTCGATCAGCAAATTCGATAACGAGCAAGTGCCTTAGCCGTTTATAGGGAGTGATTCCATTATTCTAGGATGTTTGAAGTGGAAATTCAGTAATTTTTGCGGAAGACCAGGGCAGGATATAATAGAGACAGAAAGAGGGCGAAGGGGGGTACGCGGAGGGAGCGAGGGGGGGGGGGGGAGAAGGAACGGATTGATTTTCGCCTGCGCGGTGGTGCGCTCTGCCGGCACATACCTCGGCTCATTCTCCCCACTCCTGAGGACCTGGTTAGTCCATCCAGTTCAGTTGGCGGTGCCATGAAGCTCTACCTCTGCCTCATCGTCGTCTTCTTCTTCTGCGCCCAGGCCCAGGGCAAGAGGAAGCGCAAGTTCGACGGCGACTTCGAGTTCGCCGAAGAGGTGAGCTTTATTAATCTTCAGGTTATCTTAAGTCTCTAGGACTTCCGAGGACAACAAAGCATTCATATTAAAAAAAAATTGTTCATAATTTTCTTAAAAACGAAGTTTTCCTATAAACATTACACTATATTATGAGCTCATTGAAAAAAAAAAAAAAAAAATAACTCTGGAAGCAACAAATAAATTTTTCTGTTGATGCAGCTTATGTGTGTATCTAGTATTTTGACAACCTCTAACAAACTTAGAAATATAATAAAACCTCTGTATACCGGACAGTCATGGTAATTAATTTTTTGTCCATCCCTAATATATTTTTTTTACATATATTCTCCAGTACTTTTAAAATTGTACCGTAAAATAAAGGTGTCCTTTAAAAAGAGAACTCGTTATCCACAGGTTTCACTGTATTATCAAGCTCCAAAGAAATAGTACTTCAGAAACGTAGAAATAAAAATAACATTCCACTCTCAATCACTTCATTCACGAGTCTTTAGACACTTACCTATTGTTCAAAATTGTTATCAGAAATAAATTTTAAAGCATTAACTTTTTATCTAAAAAGTTGTAAATATATCTTTAAGAGCATCCAATTTCGGAAAAAAAATTTGTTTTCTATAATAATTATTTTTATTTGAATAATTACTAGTACTATTAAGGTACATACATATATAATTTTATTACATGAATATATTGTAATGTTAATGTTATTAATTGCCTAATAATCATTTCTTAAATTAAAAAAAAAATATAATTCCCATCTATTCTGACAATTTCATGTAGTTGTCAGTATTTTGACAGCCGCAAGAAAAATTATAATTAATTTTTTTTTCTCGTAAAACCGCCAGCGGTTGATAATATAATACTGAAAATCATTTAAAAAATTCTGCCTTAATAATTAATTCATCACATCGACTATAGTTAATTATAAGTATAATTATTATACGAATTTGGTTTTATAAAATTATTATTATGTGTGTTCTTAATAGTGTATATATAAAAATATATTTTTTTTTTTGGCATGAGAAGGCATTAATGTATTAATTACAATATAAAAAGTTAATTTTACACCATTTGGTTATGGTATTCAATTACTTGTAGTTAATTATGGTATTTCATAAGTAACTAAATTTACTTAAATATGTATTACAAGTAGTATTAAAAATTGGGGGTGCGGTCAAAGAAAAAACTCACAAAAATACGACGTTTCGGCCTAATTTATTAAACTTCTTCTGAGTAAAAATTCCAAGTATTACCAGTTGGTTTAATTTTTAATTACAGAAATCCTTGTTTAGTTTTCACTAATTATAGACAATTATTATTTGACAATTGTTCAAAAAATATTAATAAATTCATTGATTCTATATATATATATATATATATATATATATATATATATATATATATATATATATATTGTCATTTTTTTTTTGTTTCTTTATTATTTAATCTTCTGATAATTTATTTTAATTAATCATTATTAATTTAAAAGCTTAATACTGCTTTGATAAATATAAAAGTTCAAGGACTCTCGTCGGTTAAAAAAAAAAAGTAGTTCACCGACGATGCGAAGTTCTGATTTGTCAAAGACTTCTTTCATCTTTTCGCCCACTCGAAGTTGACTTTTTAAATTAGGTCTCGAAACTCTAGATGCTTGGCAATTTTATCTTGATGACTTTCATTTTTATAAAAAGTAAAAAAAAAAAGGTTTAAAAATAAATAAATAAGAAATGATGAAGAAATCCGTAAAAAAATAATCACGGCTACTCGAAGGCAGTCCGTGACGTATTCGGGACTATTTTGTTGTATTACGATGAAAAATATTCATGTTTTAACGTGGTCTGGGGGATGAAAGATGGTTCAATCAATATAATCATAATTAAGTATATAATTTGAAGTTTCAAAACCGTACAAACATATATATATATATATACACACACACACACACACACACACACAAAAGCAGCATAAGAAATATTATATCGAGTCCTAGTAGACATACATTTGCGCGTAATATTTAATAAAAGCTTCGTGAAGTTAAAAATTATTTTAGGATTAAAAAAAATACTTCTGGAAGTAAAATACCAAAGCCGTTACAGAATAGTCCAATTTCGTTCTCTGAGGTAAAAACTTTTTCAGGAAAAAACATTTCCAGTTATGTCCGACATTCTGGAATGTTCTCATTCTTTTTTTGTTCGTTTTTTTTCTTTTATTAATTCTTATTATATAATTATTGGAGTGATAAAGTACGACATACGGACGTGTTAAATTTTATTCAATGTATTAATAAAAACCTTTTATGAATTAAACGTTTAATAAATTACCCATAAATCCTACTAAAATTAATACATTTTAAAATTAAATATGTGTATTTAATCATTTCAGTAAAAATAATAAAAAAATTAAAAAAGTAACAAATCATTCCATGTTATCACTTTTCAGAAATTTGACAACCAGCTTAATATTATGCCGACGATTCCTTAATAATTTGTGAGGAAAAATAATTAATTTTTAAATATATACTTACATTTCAGATTAATTTGTGCAAATTTTATTGAATGTATTCAATGTTTTTCTATTTAATTTTTTTTTTTTATAATAAAGGTTCAGGTTTATATGATTCGACAGCCTCTCATTTAATTTGTTGTTTAATATATTACATATATATATATTATATATATTATATTACATTCGGTGGCTAGTTGCATCATATTTATATATATAGAATTCAAATGCAAAATTAACAATTAATTATATTACAACAATTAATATCATCCCGTTCCTTTAGGCTTTTCTCTTTCTATTTAAAAAAATCAATAATTTGACAATTGTTCATTGTTTGGTTTCATTTTCTAATTTTTTTAAAGGTTTAAATTAGTAAGATTATAAAATGCTACGGGTGAATAAATAACCAAATAACCAAAAATATATATATATATATATATATATATATATATATATATATATATATATTTAAAGAAATTAATAATAACTAACAATCACTCTCAATCTCAAAATTATTTTATTTAGATCTATGTACAACACTTTACGTCAGAATAATGGTTACATGCTTGTGGTTACAGTTATTTTATATATGTTATAATAGTGGTTTGGTTTAATATGTTGAAATCTATTTTATAGGAAAAATCTATCACTTCAAAACTATACACACATTGTATATACAATTATAACAGTTATACTGTAACTTATAACTTACAATTATAATTTATTAATTGGTTTGAAGGCTTGTTGCTGCTTATTTGTCAATAGTAAAAAGTTGAGTTTTTGCCATTTTAAGAGTTTTATTTATTTATGTGTGTGCCGTTTCAGTGGTTTCTTGTCAGATATTGTGTAAGCTAAAAAAATATTTGTTTATTAAAATATAGTTTTATTATTGAAAGCTTCAATTCTGATAATATGGTGGATATTGTAGTGTATATATTAATAATAAGATAAATTAAATAATATTGCTGACATTAAATATTATGCAATTGTGATACTTATTCTCCAAATAAAATATACTTAATAAAATATTATCGAGTGATTTTCGACCTGAATCTTTAAAAATGTATAAAACAATTTCATACTAGGTAACTTTGTAATAAATAATACAAATTAAAAATAAAGTAAGGGTTGTTAAAATTTATGTTTAAAAAATAATATGATATTTATTTATTGGTTAAATTTTACAAATGCATTTTGGTATATTTATACAGTATTAATTTTTAAAAAATCAGATAACTCGTTATTGTACATGTTATACAATTATGTTCGATCAATGTATTTACAGATTATATATATATATAATCCCAATCAATAAGAAGTACCTACCACTATCTTAGATTTGATTTGAATAAAGAGCGATGAGTGTCTCTCTTGACCCCGTTTCGTTGCGACTATTCCGATGTTATTGAGCGCTTGAGGTTTCCTTGTGGGACCTCTCTCCGTCGAATTTTATTAAAATTATTATTATTTAAATTATTAATATAATTTATTTATAAAATCTGGTATTATTTTGCGGGTCTGTCTGGTATTATCTAGAAGTATCAGGTGTCAATTTTGCGTGATAACTGTAACGAAACATGAGTATGTGTAATAAAATAAAAAGCTTGTAATAAAATATTAACACCCGTAATGAAACATAACATGAATATTTATCGTCCTGATTAATGAACACGTGTAGTATGAATAAAATTGAAATATGATTCTCTGCTCCGATAATAGTCTTTCAATTAATTATAATTCCTTTTAATTTCCCGTTTATAAAACATTTTAGGCGTAACAAGCTAAGCAATTTTAATGGTCAATTTAGATTTATCTGAAGCTGTATAAGGATAAGTGGCTCATACCTTTAAAATATTATGTTACATTATCAATTCATTATTAATTAAGTGGTTAATAAATTCGTGAATTATTCGCTTACATGTCAGTAATATCGTGTATTAATCTGACATTCAATTCAATACAACAAGATATGTTATATGTGTTATGTCCGAAATGGAAATTTTATCCAATTTCTACTTAATTATTAATGAAAGATATTAATTTCAATAATAAGTCGCAAATCAAATGCCTTAAATTTGATTTTGATATATTATTGGTATTTTAGTATCATCGATCGTTTATTTTTATTGTTTATTGTTATTGAGATTGCAGTGAACAATAAAACAAATAAATAAAATATATATATATATATATCTTTACGAGTATATGTGTTTATTATTATTACATTTATGCTATATATTTATATTTATTCCAACCATATTATCTACAATTTATCTTCATCAATTATTTATAATTGAAGATATCCATTATTTGAAACTTTTTTCAAAGGCAGTTTTTTCAAACAATTTTTCTGCTGGTTTCCAGCTATAACGTATAATATTCCTGTCAGATTTAAAAAAAAAAAAAAAACATCATATTTAGCTTCAAAAGGCATGAAATTGTGATGATTTCGTATACAAATTTCAGCTGCTGGATATGACTTCCATAATTGTTAATATATAATAAATATTCGGCTTAAATATTGACTGTACGATGGT